TTGAGCTACTAGGTTTGCAAAAAATGCAGGACATTTACAGTGCAAGGTGACACTTAACTACAATAAAAAACAGTATGAATAGTTGCTTATTTTTGTTAATAGCATATAGCTAATACATCTTTGACTCAACTAAGCTCAGCGGGGTGAAGGTTCGGCGGAACAAGGAGTGGTTTGAAGGCTCTTTCACCACTAACTTGTTCTCAATCTTGCGGCATCCATTGAGCACCTGTGCATGAGCGCGATGTCGCAGGATAACAATCCCGATGCGGCACTCTCGCATAAGCATGCTAACAATGCAGAAGCGCAGCGGCCAGCGCCACGTGGCTCCCCGCCATTCAGCAGCAACACGACGGGCTCATTAGACGCACTCAACAAAAACACGTCACTGTCATCATGGCTGCCCAGCATGCGGTAATGGGCCGCGTGCAAGCATGACCCGCGGGTTCTGGAATTCATACAGAGTACAGTTCCAAAAAATGGGGTGACACGACCACGGAACAGCAGCTCTTACTTAAAATAATACGAATAATGACCTAAAAAAGGAAAAGGAAAAATACAAAGCGTCTGAGCAAAGCCTGCACGGGCTGGTGTGCACTGGAGTTTCACTGGATTCCGCAGTTACTTTGCAGCTGTGGTCTCTAGGATAGGTCGCCCGGATCTGCACTGTTTGCAGAAATACATTTCGATTTTCCCAAGAAGTCAGCACAATACGATTCCACTTAATGTGTTTAAACATTGCGTAGTAAACTTTCTAAAAAAGCAGGAGCAGCCAGAGACACTGACCACCAGTGTGGCTCACTCATACTTCATGTGCAATTAGTACGACTTGTAAAATAAAACACTGCCTTTATTTACCTGCCCTATCTACGACCCCCCCCACCCACACAAAAACGCTAATAGTGCCGGCTCTCCACAGCTGTGCTTGTGTGGGGGGTATAAAGGGGCCACCCCATAATTCCCATCAACTCCTACTCCTGTCCCAGTTATGACCTGCTGCAAAATTGGCCGCTCAGACAGGCAGATTTGAGCAGCAGAGCCCGGAGGAGAACACTCAGAGGGACAACGCCACTTTTGCCAGGCTCTGGTCCTGCCTGCTTCCCAAAGTGTGAGCGCCCTCTGCTGGCGAAGGGCCCTGCCTGCACATCCCGGATCTCAAAGCCATCTGCAGTGCTGACATCTAGCTTGTGGTACAGGTACTGTGCTATTGTTTCCGGTTATTCAAATAAGGTCAGCATCGCTAATGGATATCGATCATTCTGCAAAGGAGCCAAATTCGCAATAAACTCCTACAGTACATTACTATACAACAATAAGCCTAATGACCAGATCCTCCAATATTATCTCCCATGTACAATGAAATATATCGGGATTGGCTCTTATCAAATGTATAATTAATAATATTTAATTATAAATCTTGTTAAAAATGTTTTCGATCATTTGGGGAAAGCTGCCATTCCATAAAATGTTTCCATGCTTCAAAAGATGCAACCAATGTCATGCTAAACTGTTACGCCCCACAAATTTGCATTAAACGCTCAACAATGACTAATCGGGTTGGTTTATTTATATGTTTGGATATACGGATTTTTTTTCCACCGCTGAGCATAATGGGGGGGTACAGCTAAGAGGCCAGTACAAAGAAAGACAGTGACCTCCTCTGGCTGCCGGCTCTCACTGCCGCTCGCTAGCTCGCCCGCGCGGGCGGGCAGGCGGGCGGGGGCCATACCACACACGCGGGTCCCCCCCACCGCTGCGCCACCACACAGACCCGGTGTCCGTTTGCGGCACTTTGTGGCTGTGCTGATAGAGGGCGGCGGCCCGCAACCCCCCCCCCCCCCCCACACACAGAACCAAGGCACAGCCGACTGCCTCCGAATCAGCAACAAGAAAAGGCCGCATGACATAAGAGAAGCAGGAGGAGAAAAATAATATAGATCCACCTTTTATGAATAATACAAATTTTTGTATTCTTTATTTTTATCGTAGCTAGCATGGTATAAGAGCCTAAGGTCAGAGTCACCTACAGTTGACGCGGGACAGCGGCTGCTAGGCCACAGGAATCAGTGGCTCGCACACGGCCGGCACAGGGGGGGGGGGGCGCACTGTCGCTGCGCGGGTACAGCTGCTTATTAAGGCTCACTCCTCCCTACATTACGCCTTTCATCCCCACTCAACCACAAAATGATTTCGCTTTACGGCGCACAATGGCAGCAAAAGATTTATAATGAATGAATCCTTAATAAACTGTTGCAGATCTGTCTACTTCTCTAGTGATTTATAATACAATAAACAGGACATTCTATAAAGTATCTTGCTGAAAAACATTGTGCTGGAAAGGAGGGGAGGGGGAGAGAGAAAAAATGCTGAATATGAAAGACCTCAATTCTCTCCAATGCCATAATAGTGAAATGAGCACATATAAATGTGTTGAGAGTATCTCTTTGCATCTTGTATAGACTGCATGTATTTAATCTGTAAAGCTTATTAAGACAGAGTCATTGCTATGCAAAGCAGAGCCCAGTGCCTTTCTCTCGCTTTTCAGCTGAGTTCAGTGTTCAGCCAATGGGACTGGCCCCCTGCCTCTCATTCTGCATTCATAACATGCAACATTTGCACAATGTATCTCTCAAAGGCTGCTGAATAGAAAGCCTTAATACTCATGTAAACAACTGCAAACCAATTACTTAATGAATCGAGCCCACACATAATGAGGTGCCACACAAAGAGCTATAAATGCATTTTTTGCACCAAAGCCTTTGCTTAAAACTACAATCCCTCAGCTGTAGTCTAGGCTTAACTGGCACATCGTAATTATTGTTTATAAGACAACAGAGGTAGCCATTTTTTTTTGGTTGGGTGGGGGGGGGTTGGCTCTGGCTGGGAGCTCCTTTTGATGTCACTCATCAGCTCGCTGACAAAATAAAACAAATAATAATAAAGGAATCCAAGCGCCGCACACAGAGCTGTTATGCTGACGCTGAAGAGCCGGGCTTCCAGACCTCTTCAAGACGCAATAAAGCGCAAAGAAGTGACTGCAGTAAGTGGAATGCTTAAACATAAGCATGTGAAAAATTTCACAGAGGGCCACGGAGAGAGGGAGACAATGCGGACGGCGGCTGCATTCCGCCCTTCCCGAGCTCTCTCAATGCAGCCGGGCCTTTCCTGATGAGATTCGTGTCAAGTATCAGAAACTATTTATTACGCCAATTCCGGCATGTTTAGCCTCGCTGCCGCCGTTACCGGCACCATGCTCAATTAACACCGACGCCCCCTTTTTCCAAAAACATTTTTTTTCCTCGTTTCCCCCCCCGTCCCCTGGAAAACTGGTGGGAAGGTCGGCCAGTGGCTCGTGTCTCGTTAAAGCGAACAAACCGAGAAATAAATAAGCGCCCCGATGGTGGTGGAGACTCGTGCGTGTTTTTATCAGAGTGAGGTGTCTCTCTCTCTCTCTCTCTCTCTCTGTGCCACTAATGGCCAAACTGGGAACCAGGCTAGCTGGTCGACAGAGGGCCAGTAAACAGAAAGGAACAGAGCCTTAGCGCCGCAGTGTCAGCAGGATGCCTCATGATCAGAAGAAATCAAAGGGCAGAATTCTTCACAGGGGCCACATTTACAATGCTAATAGATACAGACCTGCAACAGCTGCTATACCAACAGATGCTGAATTATATAATCACTCACATACCCTGTGTTATGTAATACACACAAACTACATATAGAAAATACACATAAAATAAACATTAAATACGTAACATACGGAGGCTAATTCCCTGATTACTGAGTCTCATTGACCATTTCTTTTGGCAGATAGGATGGAGATGCTTTGAAAATTAATCTGTTAAATAAGCATGCTGGTCTGCTTTTAAGGTTTATCAGTGTCAGCGAGGTCCCCGTGTGAGGTATTTACGTGCGTGTGAGGTATTTACGTGCGTGTGAAGTCGATAAGTTGTCCTAGATTACATTATGTACTAATAAATGTCTATTAACTTCAAAGTTCACCGCAATGTCAAAGAAGTCAAATGTCTCTGAGTCTTTTAACAGTTCAAACATCTCATTTTAGACAGAACTGCTCATAAGGGATTTTCAGCACACTCTATTAACAGGCAAATGACGCCCAAACACCATCCACGCATAAATTTTCTTTCTACAAAACAGCTAAAAATGGCTCTGGGACACCAGTGTGGTGATGTATATATTCCCCTATGACTTTTTTTTTAATTTATTCCCCTATGACTTTTTTTTTAATTTTTAAAAAAGATTACATTTTAATAATGACTGAAAAGTAGAAGTTTGGCTGTGATATTTACGCGGAGGGCCACTTGCGGATTGTCGCCTTCCTTTGAAAGAGGCATTAAGAA